TCCTGCAGGTTCCACGAAGGTTCCCCAGGGGGTCCCAAAGAGGACACCCGGGATGCCCCGAGGGTTCCTCAAGGGCCTCGAAGGATTCCCCAGGGAGCCCCAGGGGGACCCCGAAGAGGCGTCCACTCCTGCTGCTGCACTCGCTGGATAGAAAGTTCCGCAGTGCCCGCGCGGATTCAAGACGAGGGAGGCCAGGGCGGCAACAAGAGAGAGAGAGAGAGAAACAACAAAAAAAACAGTACACCCCCAGCCTTTCAGTCCCCTGCGCTGGTCCCAGGCCGCACAGCGCTGTGCGAGCTCAGAAAAGAAGCGGCCCAACGCGGTGCGCCTCCTCGAAGCTCGAAGCTGTGGACTATGTCGCCGCGAATGATCGAAGCCCTCGTCGCGTCCGTTCTTCCCCAATAACGCGAGAGCAGCGGTCCCACCGCTATAGTGGCGCTGCAGATCAAGTCGATGAGGGCGCAGTGTAAACCTGAGCGGGTACTCGAGCCAGGGGGCGGTCCCTCCTTCCGGTGCGCCTCCCCCCTCTCCTCCCCGACCCGCCCCTCTCAGGGCAGGGGGCGCCGCCGCCGCGAGGGCCCCCCCGCTCGAAAACCCCACCAGGCGCCAAAGTTGGGGAACGGCAGTGGGGCCCTTCGGGGACCGCTCGTCGAGTCTCCTTGGGCCGTCTTGGAGCTACCTGGGGATGCCCGGAAACCCCGCGGGACATCTCGAAGCCTTCTGGTGTTTCCGTGACGCCGCTTAGCGCCGTCTGGGCGGCTCTCGGGCCGCTGGGGAGGGCCCCCTTGGGAGCCCGTCGCCCCCGCGGCGACCAGACGCAGACTGGGACCTCGGCAACCCCACCCCGACCTCGGGTCCGCCGTGCTCTGGCCGATTTCCCGGCTTTCGGGTGCGCACAAGCAGGGCGGCAACTCCCGCCTCGGCAGAGCAGGGCGGGCATCTGCGCCAGAGTGCGGCGGAAGCAGCGGCGGCAACGCAGGGCGGCCATCGACACCACAGGAGCTTGAAAAGCAGGACGGGGACCTCCACCCAGGAGGCACGGCGGATCCGAAGCCCAAGGCAAAGGAGGCGCGCCCGCGCCCCCCCCCCCTCCTCTGGAGGCCCTCGCAGAGGTCCTCCCTATGGGTGCCCTCTGAATGGCCTTGCGGAGGTCCTCCCTCTGCAGGCACTCGCCCCCCTTCTGCAGGTATTCTGGAGGCCAGGGAGGAGGAGGAGGAGGAGGAGGAGGAGGAGGAGGAGGAGGAGGAGGAGGAGGAGGAGGAGGGGAGGAGGAGGAGGGGGAGAGGGAGGGGGGGGGGACACCATGGCTGACGCCATTCAGGCCCGCGAGGGAGGAGTCGGGGAGAGGGCGGGAGGGCTGACGCCATGGCTGACGCCATTCAGGCCCGGGAGGGGGGGGGGGGGGACGGGGGAGCTCGCTCAAGCTTCACTCTGTCGGGGGGGGGGGGCTGACGCCAGGCTGACGCCATTCAGGCTCGGGAGGGGAGAGGGGGGGAGGACCGACGCCATGGCTGTCGCCATTCACGTCCGGGACGGGGGAGTCGGGGGGGGGCGGGGGCTGACGCCATGGCTGACGCCATTCAGGCCCGGAAGGTGAGAGGGGACATCCCATGAGTTTGGCTGTTCGCGCGAGATCGTCACTTTCGAATATCCGAAAGTTGCCCAAACGAGTTCAACATCTCTATATGTTGAGGCTGTCTTGAGCGAATGCTTAATTTTCCAAACATAAAAAGTCATCAGTTGCAAGCAGAATCGGTAGCACCCCGGATCGGCGGCACTGGCCGGAGGCCACTAAAATTTGACTCTCGCCTGAGCGCCGCGCACATTCGTGTTAAACATTTGCACGAGTTTCACGGATTGATGGCGGGTGGTTTTCAAACTGTGACTCTCGCCCTAGCTCCACGCACATTCGTTAACACAAACGCAAGAGTTTGTCGGACTGAAGGCAGGTGGTTTTCAAAATGTGGCTCTCGCCTCAACACCGCGCACATTCCTTTTTAACCATATGCAAGAATTTCACGGCTTCCCATGGTCAAAGATGGCCCGTGCGGCGAACGACAAGCAAGAAGAAAAGAGGCTGTTGAAAGAAGTGCGAGAAGCGTGCAATCAGGACAAGACGGCATGGATCGACGAACAAATTGCGACCGGCAATAGGGACACTTTGAAAAAGCAATGCTGAAGAATTTGCGAGGTGATTTGGTGAATAGTACGCAGAGAGCCGGCGCGATGGCAGAATGTCTGGAACAAGTTCAGCGGATAATCAGAATTGCCGAGCTGGATGACACTCCCGCCGACGATCCACTCCCAGTTTCGAAAAAAGATTTCACAGTAGAGGTTGGCAAGGCAGTCAAATACCTCAAACTCGGGAAAACATCAGGAATGGACGACATACCGGCAGAATATTCGACAGTGATTTCTTCAAACCCGGAAGGGCTCAATTGGAGTACCGAGCTATGCAACATGTGTTAGAATGAGGAAGCTGACCCAGAAGATTGGAAGCAATACATTGTTACGGCGATTTACAACGATAAGGGTGCAGTGGACACTTGCGACAACGTGACAACGACCGCCCGATCAGCTTGCTGCGCGCGGCGTACAAGCTCGTGGCATCTCTCATCTTGAAGCAGTTGCAAGGCGCTGGAGCCGAAGACAAACTATGGACCTCGCAGCCTGGGTTCCGGAGGCGTGGGACTTCGGACGCTATACATTCTGTGCGTCGACGCATTGTATTGGCGTGCGCAGACAGAAGCGGAGGCACAGCGTTTTTGGCATTAGGCTGGAAAAAAACACTCGATGCGTTACATGTCGAGGCTCTGTTGGAGACCCCATGGGACAATGTGGTGTACCAGAGCGCATGCTTAACATCATCGGGAACGTCTATGGTGGTAGAACGTTTATGGTCAATCCCTTCTTGTTCGCAATGGCAATGACCATGGCAGTCAAAAAGACTACACGTTTGGTTGATGCTGGGGTGCGACAGGCGCCTACTGATGGCACTTTATCTGTGTTGCTGTATGCCGGCGATACGTTATTGGTGGGGCGGAAACAACAGCAATTACAGTCTTTCTTGGGTGAGATCGCGAATGCCGGCGCCCGCGTTGGCTTTGAGCTGCACTGGGACACATGTCAGCTTATGCCTATCCGTTGTGAGATGGAACTCTCGACCCCGGCTGGGGTGCCTATCCCAGCCAGGGACTCACTGGTATATCTGGGGGCCACGCTCGCAAGTTCAGGAAGGCTTGCAGGCGAATTAAGTAAACGACTTGGCGCTGCGTGGGGCGAGTGTTGCAGGCACACTCGCGTGTGGAAGCACACGTCAATTTGCCAACCTAGGAAGGTGCAAGTTTTCCAAGCGCTCGTAACTAGAACGTTATGTACTCGTTGAACTCAGCCTGGCTGAACAAAGCTGAGCGCAGGCGTCTAGACGGCTTCTAAGCGCGGTGCCTCCGACGCATTTTGCACATTCCGCACCTTTACGTTTGGAGGGTCTCGAATCAAGAGGTGTTATTGCGGTCAGGTCAGCAAGCGTATACTGCCCAACTTTTAAGGCACCTGCTGTTGTGGTTCGGACAAATAGGTCGATCTAGAGTTGAGTGAGTCCTTTGGGGGCAAACTCTGTTTCTCTGTTCAAGTCCAAAATTCTGATGAAGGTCTGATTCATGTCTGCGCTGGAACTCTGATTCATGTCTGGCCCTCAGCGCCAACTCCGACTTAGGTCCTCGGCGCAACAGGTCTGAATCGCTAGATTCTAGCGATTCAGACCTGTTGCACCGCCTAACTTTCTTGCCAGGCTGCGTGCGCCCAGCCACAGACGCTTGCAATCGACTCGTTGGGATGCCACTGCTGCTCCATCTTTTCCGGATGAGAACAGCATGGCGCAGTGCATAGCAGAGCCAAGAGCTTGGCGCAGATTTGTGGTTGCAATTGTTCATGTCTCCGTTCCTTCCCCTCCCCCATCGGCCTCCTGACACGCACGACGCAGTCTAATAGTTCTATCCTGCACCCCGCCGCTCCCGCAAAGCGGTGAGACCAGGCTGGCACTGCACGCTTTTTCTGCCCACGCGATCCAGCGTATGGCATGTCTGTCTGTCTGCCATGGTCAACGTACTCGAAATTCTATGTTTGGAAAGTTTTGGAAATATTCAGGATTATGAGGGTGCAACCGTTACGTTGATTCGCGGTGTTATGGCGTTCTGGCGCGATTCAGGATCGTCAAGACGCAACAGTCAGGTTGATCCGTGGCGTTTGAGTTCCGAGAATAATGTTTTGGCTTGCCTCAGGGTCTTCAAACGGATGTCTTCCAACGGCACAGTTCCCTCAGTGGAAATGAACCTTTGTAGGGGCCTATGAAGAGGGAGCTTGGAGGGAGGGTTTCTGTCGACACCGTTGATGACTCTTGGGTTTGCGCTGGTCCTCCTCCTCCTCCTCCTCCTCCTCCTCCTCCTCCTCCTCCTGCACCTTCCGCACATTCTGAAGGTACCGCCGCGATGCGGCCGCCGCGGCCGCCGCTGCGGCCTCGACGGTGGTCGCCGCTGAGGCCGCGGCGGCGGCCGCGACAGCGCGGCACCTTCCGCGCGGAAGGTGCGGGTCGAGGGCTCCCCGGCCCGCTCCTCTCTGGGCAGGCGCTCGGCGCCGCGACGAGCCCCGGCTGGGGAACGGCACTGCCGACGAGACCCCCAGCAACCCCCAGGGGGCTCGGGCAACCCCCAGGGGGGGGGTACAGCTTGAAAGGGGGTGGTGCTTTCGGAGTTTGGCTCCAACTCGCTGCAAAGATGCGTTCGCGCGACGGGGTTGCCGCGACTGCCCTCGACCTGCACCCTGGCCGCACCTTCCGCGCGGCAGGTGCCGCCGCGACGAGGCCGCCGCCGCGCATGTACTTCGCCACCTAGTCCTGGGGTCACCAAGCCGCGTGTCGTCCTCGCCGTCGCCCTCGTCGCCGTCGTCGTCGCCGTCGTCGCCTGAAACCCCTCGTGGGCGCGACCCCCGCAGGGAGGGCGCGCCCGAGGTCCTCCAGCAGGCGCGCCTCGAAGCGCGCCCACGCCTCGTCGAGGGCGCCCAGCGCCTGCCGCCGCGCGGCGCCGAGGGAGCGGCCGGGGCCGCCGCGGTCGCGGTCGTGCGCCCTGGGATCGGGGGCGGCAGAGAGGGGGGTGATGACTATAGGGGGGGTGGACATCATGGCGTGGGCCATGATCTTTCCCCAAATTTCAGGGCGCCGCTTCGTATTTCGTTACGTCCCGGGCCCCCCCGCTGGGCCGCGCACGTGCCGCCGGTCATGATATTTGCACCCCCCCTCTTGGGGGCACCCCCCCTCTTGGCCGCTCCCGACTGGAGGGGAATCAAAGCGGGGACCGTGGCCAAGACTGAACGCGAAAACGTCGCGTCGACGCCGCCCAGCGCCAATTCGTGGAGCATCCATCCTCGCAGACGGGCGACGGCCGACAGGAACCGTGGCTGGGATCTGCAGCGACGAGGTCCCGCGACACCTTGGCCATGGTCCCCGCGCTTCTTCCCTCAAGCCGCGGCCGTGCGCCTTTACTGGGGGGGCGTCCCACCCGAATCGCCGAGGACGCGGCGGTGGACAAATCTCCCTTTAGTAAACCTCCCCTTAGTGAAAACGGCCTGGGGCCGAAACCGACGGACCTGGACCCGCGAAAATGACGGCAGCGACGCTCTCTCGCGAACCGAAAACGGCCAATTCCTTAATCGACGTGTCAGGGTAGGAGGTCTATCCACCTCCGAAGGTCCTGCGTTTTGTCAGCTGGCGCTTGCTTTCTCGATCTCGGCCCTCGGGGGCTGCTCACGGGCCCCCACGGCGGCCGCTTCTGGGGTGGCCGCGGCGCGGCCGTCCCAAACGGATCCGGGACGAAAACCGGCCCCTTGGATGAGAGCCCCTCCGCCGGGAGCCTCGCCCGGGCTGCGCCCCCCCCCGGCGCCAGGCACCCTCACCTTTTCTGTCCGCAGCTGAGGGCCCTGCGACGTGCACGTGCGTTCTGACGAGGTCAACGCCGGGCGACTGGGCAACAATCGAAAACGGGTGGCTTTCCAAGAGCGGGTTGCAAATTTCGTCGCGCGCGCACTCGCCGGAGGAGGAGGAGGAGGAGGAGGAGGAGGAGGAGGAGGACATGTGTTTGGCCGCTCGGCCACACGAGAGGCCATGCGCGCCGCACGCATGCGCATCTCGAAACAGCTCCACAGGCGTCTCGCGCCCGCCGGCTCCGTCAACCACTGCAGTGCGGACCACGCGCCCGCGCGCCTCCGCCCGCGCACGCCGAGATCATTCGAACTACACCATAATTTGATTACATAGGTGTTCAACACACACACACACGAACGCCCAACTGCTTCTCAATAGAAATATGACCGAACATCGAAATGCCCTTTCGGCGCGCCGTCCCCCCTCATGCTCAACAGCATACTCGCTATCAACATCAAGGTTATCATTGGCATCGCCATCGTTAGTCTCATCGTCACCATCATCGTCATCATTCCGCCACCGTCATCGTCGCCATCGTCGATGCCGTCGAAACTGGAAGAACCTCTACGCGAGCACGTCCTCATCATCCTCAGCAGCGCCATCATCATTATCATCATCACCATCCTCACCATCATCATCGCCAACGCGATCGTGGCCATCGCCATTACCGTCACAATCAACATCAACATCATAACCATCACCATCGCCGTCGTCGGCGTCTCCCCCCCGCCGTTGTCATGAACATCGTCATTGTCATCGTCATCGTCACTGTCGCCGCCCAGTTGAGTTCATGTTAATAAATTCTGCGTCGATGGGTGTGGTGTTTACGCGACCGTTGGGGGCGGTCACGTGCGGATGTAGTCAAATGTAATTGCACCGCATGTAGTGCACCACGTTAGCTGCACCACACAGCTGAAACTACGCTGCCCGTGACACACCGGCTGCACCATACACCTTTCTCCACATAGATTGCAGCACGTGGATTCCACTACGAGGGGCGCAACAAATAGATTGCGCTCCACAAAATGCACACGGATTGCACCTGTGAGTTGCGCCACGTAGATTGGACCACTGTCGCGCCCGTCCGAGTCACCGACCCACACTGAAACGCCCGCGCGCCAGCGCGGCCTTTGAGACGCGCTGGGAAATTTCCATCGGCAAGCGCCACCGTGGCTGCACCAGTTGTGCCAAACCAGTTGGCCGATCTGCGCGTAATCGTGCGCGCGCCAGTGCGCCTGTGGAGATGCGCTAGCAAATTCCACTCGGAAGCCGCAATCGTGGCTTTGTGAGTTGTGCCGAACAAGTTGCGGGTGGGAGAGTGGGATGTCTGCGTGAGCAGTGAAACTGGCAACTCATTAGTGACACATTCCACGGCAAAAACAGCACTGCGCCACATCGACTGGGCCGCAGGACCAACAAAACGCAACGTTGCTTACACTACAACTGTGCGATAACCCCCGTGGATGGAGGCCCACGAACAAAAACATAATGCCCCCGTTTTGGTGAGGATCTACGCGCTTTCAATGTGTACGGACTTCTTTTGTGGTGGTAATGCGTGAATGGTGTCGTAGCGTTTCGTTGCGCAAGGGCCAAGGGCTATGGGAATTGTGTTGGCATGCGGATGGAGAAAGATAATTTATGGTGCTTGCGAGCCATGTTGAAGAGGTGTGGGGTGATGTGGGTCGCACACTCTACACTTGTCTCGTCGTGTCCTCCTCCTCCTGCCCATTTGCCACAAGTCCGCTACCGTTGGAAAACATGTGCTCCAACAGCTGTAAGTTTTCATCAGTGCTGGCGTTGGTAATCATAAGCTTCGTGGTGCGCATGAAGTGTTCGCAATGGTTCCCTAGTGGCTCAGAACTACGGTTGCTTCCTGTTGTGATTAAGGAATTCGTGATGTATTCTTTGGGTGTTGTTTCCTGTTGGTCCATCTTTGCATGTGGAAGCAGTTTGTGTTGAGCGAACGTTTCTTGTCGCGTCCAATTCTGAATGCAGCGGAGGCGGAACGGAGAAACGAATATGAGGGGAGGCTCCGTAGTATGTTGGAACTTAGCATGATGACTTCAATCCCGAAGCCGTTTGAAACGACGGGGGCCCACTGGAGTCCAACATGTCGGGTGCACCTGGCAAACTTTCGCATATGGAACGATACTGTCACCAAACACACCCACAAGCTTTTGACCGCACGCAGCCCGTACAGAAAAACGCTCGGCCCGATAGAACTGGTCCAGTGCGAAAGAAGTCGGCGGGCCCTCACTGGCCTGAGTGCCATGTGGGACCTGCTCAAGGACAGGAAGATACCGTGGACGGATCTACCCCTTCTCCGACCTTGCACTGCGCCGAACGCCACGGCCGTGTTGTCTACAGATGCATCCACCCCACATGTGTCCGGGTACGTTGTGTCCGTGAACACTTGCAGTCCGAACGTGAGAGCGGTATCTGGCACAGACCTAGATACTAACTTGTCTTCTAGAAGCAGGAAGACTTGGCCCTCCGACTCGCGAGACGGGGCCCGGCAGCAGCGGGGGCCCAGGCGGCTCGGCGGTGACAGTGTGGCAACAATACGGCCGGCCCTCACTGGGGAGACCAAGAGGTACCGACACCGCTACTCCCCAGACCTCTCCCTGGATGCGTTTTGGCCAGAATGTCGAGGCGAATCCAGCGGTGGCGACGAGGGCCTCCGAGAAGGCCCGGAAAGGGGACATCGGGCGAGGAATAGCGGCACGGGTACCTTTTCCTCCTCTCGGGCCCAGGCGGCTCGAGGGCGACGGTGCGGCAGAAGACGGCCGCCCCTCACGGGGCAGCGGCCGGGCAGCAGCAGCGGCCAAGGCAGCCCGGGGGGCGGCGGCGGGCCACGCGGGGCGGCCGGGCAGCAGCGGGGGCCAGGGCGGCCCAGTGGGGCGGCGGCGGGCCCCGCACTAAAGTCTGGCGCGGGCCAGGCCGAAGCAGGCAGGGCCGCGCAAAGGCCCACCGCGGGGGGCTTAGCAGCGCGTGCGCACGCATGCACGCACGCACATCAACACACCACACTCGAACAGAATCTCTCTCTCACACACACGCACGCACAACATGAACACACACACACACACACACACATACCAACCCATGCACATAACAACACATGCACATAACAACACACACAAGCGAACACACACACACACATACACTCAGCGCCCGCGACGCATTGAGACATCCATCTGGGTAGTCGTGTCGAAAGGCCCAGTGATAGTTGCAACAAGGCTTTCTCAACTACAAAACACAAAAAAAAAAAAACGTTGCGACAGGCACACGTATATCAAGTCGGCTTGCAAGGTTATTTGCAACGGCTGCGCACTCTACCGCAAATTCTGAGCGTCTGCCTCAGGTGCACGAGGGCGGCTGATGGCGACGGGCCCAACATCAGCCCATGCCGATGCAGGTCAACGACGAAAGCACGCCCTGACAATTATCTAAGCATTTCCACCACAGACCCATGACAACCTGAACAAGACGACGATGAGAGAAGGGTCCGACGAGGGAAAAGAAGTAGGACCAGGGAGAACGAAGCAAATGCCCGAGCAATAACCACATGGAGGACGAACCGCTTCCTGATGTGTTGACTGTTCCTCCTTCTGTCCGAAGAGGAGCAGGGGGAGGGGGGAAACGCCGTGACGAGGGTCTGTGAAAGATGTGGAATGGGATGGGCGGAGATGCTAAACATGACGAGCGACGGGAATATTCCACTACAGTTTGCTTCTGTGTGGAAGTGCCCCGTGCAGACAAAACATGCACATATGCCCACTAACTCCGCCATCGACCGTACAGGCGTTGAGCGCCATATGTTATTCGCACGAGCGCCCACACACACACACACACCTCAGGCCGGCTTGGGACACGTGCTGGAGCGGCCGCGCAAGATCTCGAACATGTTCCGCGTTGGATTGACTCATCTAAGGCTTTCCCACGGCTTTTCGTCTAACAGGTCCAGTACCTTATCGTACCAACCAGGAAAGCAACGAAACGCAAAAAAGAGGACGAAACGGGAGGATGATGCAGGGGACGGCGGAGGACACAATGCGGTTCGCGGGTGGAGAAACACATGTATTTCC